GTGGCAATAGTGGTAGTGGTGGTAGTGGAGTGGTGGCGATGGTAGTAGTAATGGTAGTCATAGAGGTGAAGTGGCGACCGTGGTAGTAGTGGTGGTAGTGAAATGGCGTTTGCAGTAGTGGTGAAGGTGGTAGAGGAGATTGGTGGTGAGAGAGAGAGATAAGTGAGAGACAGATAGAGGAGAGAGAGAAAGAGAGACAGAATGGTGAGCGATAGATAGATGTGTGTGTGTGTGTGAGAGAGAGAGAGAGACAAATAGACAGACATAGAGAGAAGAGTGATGAGTGAGAGAGAGAAAGAAAAGAGAGAGAGGAAGATGAAAAAATAGGTGAAAAGATATATATATATATATATAGAGAGAGAGAGAGAAAGAGCGAAAAGAAATAAATGAGAGAGAGACAGAAAGAGATGAGCGAGAGAGAAAAAAGAATAGAGAGAAGAGAGATAGAGAGAGAATATAGATGAAAGAGATGGAGAGAAGAGAGATGGACGAGAGACACAGAGAAAAAGAGAGAGACAGACAAAGAAGAGTGATGAGTGACAGAGAGAAAGAGAAGAGAGACAGAGACACAGAGAGAATGAGAGAGACAGACAGATAGAGAAGAGTGATGAGTGAGAAAGAGAGAGAGAGAGAAAAGAGACAGAGACACATAGAGAAAGGGAAAGACAGACAGAGGAGATGGAGTGACAGTGGTGGAAGAGAGGTAATGGTAGTAGTAGTGGCAGTGGTGGTGGTGAAGTGGTGGCGATGGTAGTAGTAATGGTAATCGTAAAGGTGGAGTGGCAACAGTGGTAGTAGTGGAATGGCATTTGCAGTAGTGGTAAATGTGGTAGAAGAGATGGATGGTGAGAGAGAGAGAGAGATGAGTGAGAGACAGATAGAAAAGAGAGATAGAGAGACAGAGAGAAAGTGACAAAGTGATGAGCGAGAAAGAGACAAAGGTGGGGGAGAACTGTAATAAATATAAACCTCAGAGGGTGTCAATGTAGTTTACCCAAAAAAAATTAATTGGAAAAAAAATTATTTGAAAAAAAATTAATTGAAACAAAAGTAATTGAAAAAAAATTTTGCTAGTAAAATTTTTAAATTTCTGTTTAAAAACCAACGTAAACTTATTTTTTGAATTTACCCTTTTTCTTCAAAATTACAAACTGAGACAACCATTTATAAACCAAAAAAATTATCAAACAAGTTTTTATGACAATTTTTAAAATTTTTGTAAATATAAATTGAAAACTAAAAATGAAATGATTAGCAAACAGGCTTTAGATGGTAAAAATGTTATAAAATTAACAAGTAATTAAATAAGTTACCAACGTAAGAAATGACTTATCAAAAGATTCTTAGGCTATATATAGTTTGATTTTTAGAAAAAAAATTTAAAAATTAAAAATTAATTTGGTTAAAAAATAAAAAATAAAAAAAATAAAAAAACCCAAAAAGATTTTTTTAGTATGGTTTTGCAAGCTTGAAATTTTTGAGTGGTCCTTGGTGCATATTGGAATTGATGAGAATATCCATTACATGTTAATATATGTGTGCTTTATGTGGTCATTACTCATTTTGGAGTGTGAGTTCTTTGATTAGTATGTCTCATTCTGTACACAAT